CCAAAGTTTCCCCGAAGATTCTCCTGGGAGTTGGAGCCAGCTATAGCTACAGGAAGGAGCGGGGATGGCAAATACAGCACTACTTGTAGCAGCAGTTACCTTGTCCAACAACTGTTCCTTGCATTCCCTTTACCCGTCAATTATTGCTACGCTATTCACCCCAACTTCCTGCTTCTATCTCTGCCCCTGCTCCCTTGGGGCGGTCCTGAGACGGGCCACGCTGTGCTCATTCATTCGCTCACTTATTGATTTTTGTTTGTTTGCATCGGTTTCTATGGATGTAAAACCTGACCGGGAAATTTTAGGACAGAGGTGGAGACTGAGTGTAGCCTAACCTTCACAGGCTTCTACAGATCTCCCGAAATGTACTCTATTTCTTTACAGGGGAGAGGAAGGGCAAGCTTTAGGCAATAAATTACAAGTGGGAGGGGCGCTCCAAGCCACAGTGATTGCCATGGGAATTAGCAGAGGCTGAGGGCAATTTGTGGGGCCACGTTCCCTGCCTGTTTTCTCTGTGCACGCCAAGAGAATGAATAAATCATTGTTCAGGGGTGGGATGCAGCTGCCGGGCTCCTCCCCTCGGCACATGCCCGGACTCCAGCTCCTCCATTGAGGGCTGCTGGAGCAGAGCAGTTTATACACCCAGCTCCTCAAATCCTATTGAGTCCTCCCCTTTCTGCACGAGCCACCGGCTCCAAACTCATTCAGCTTGGCGCTTTGTGCTGGGGGTTAAGTGGTTACATGTGGGGGGCACCCAGAAAGGGCCTGTCAGGCCCTGAAAAGCTGTGCTGATACGGTGTCCTCCTACTGATGAATGGGTGGGTGGAAGAAAGGTGGGCGGCCAGAGGGTGAGGTGTGGGAGAGGGATTATGCCACTCACAGAGGCAGCTGCCGGGAAGGGGGTAGAGCACATACTCCTTTCTCCCATTCCTCCTCCATTCAGCTCGTTCATGTAGCTCAGGACCAACACCCTCATGACCTGGGATCTGGCTTTTCTTGTCTCTTGGTAGAAGCCAAGAGGAGAGGCTGGAGAGAGGCTATTCACCTCTCAGGTGTGTTACAGAGAAAGAATCACACTAACCTTTCCTTCTAACAGCTCTGGAACACCCATGTTCACTTTTTTTTCCTTGGCTGGGAAGAGACCTGAAAGAAGTTTTCTTTTCTAGATCTTTCGGGTGCAGTGGGTTTGGAACGGTGCCCCACCAGCTTTAAAACTTATTTCAGGGCAGGAGATATATCTCAGAAACTTTTGGAGCGGCGGGTTCAGGAAAGAAGAGAAAATCTCAAACTGGGTGTATTGCAAATATTTTAACTGAAGGAAAAACACTGATCCCAGGACTGGGAATACAGCTCAGTGGCAGAGGGCTTGCCCAGCACGTAAGAGTTGCCCCAGTAACGTCCACTCCGACCCCCGCCAATGATTCCAAGGCTAAAACAAAACAAAACTTCAAAACCTTGGATTGGAAGTATCTCACCCTCATTTCACAGTTGAGAAAACAGTCATTGTTGAGGGTGAGGGAATGGCCATCTCTCACCTAAAGTGGACACATAGTCATTTCCTGTTCATCTAGAGCGGCACTTTACCTTTAAGAGGCAGTGGAGAAATGGATGAACAAAACAACTAGGTCACCAGCTTCCTGGGCCTTTCTCTCCTGAGATGAGCCAATTCTGGGGAGTAATCTTCCTTCTAATCTGCCTTAAGGGCTCTCTGGTGTGTCAAAGTTCCTTCTGTGCCCGGCTTGGGAGCTCAAGTAACAATGTTCAAAAGTATAATGTCATTTAACAACTTCTAAGGAATATTATCCTTATTTAGCTCAAGGAAGTTAAAATTTCTTGATGTATCTAAGTTCCCAAAGCCTTTCTGGGGAAGTTGACAGGTGATGTGAGCTCAGGAAAAGGGGAAAACTGGCAGCAATGTAGCTTGTCTCCTGGACTGGACTGCTCTGGGGTGGAAACTCTGGGGGTCTCCCCAGTTATTTCCCTATTGCCCACAGGATGAAGCCCGGCCTCCTTGAATGACCTTGCACAACTGGCTTTGTTCTCTAGCCTTTTCCTACCTCCATTTCCTGCTGAACTCTAGTCACACTGGCCTATGATGCTCTGAACACACTGAATATGCAGCATCGTAAGCCTTCTGCCTTCTCTTGGTGGACTATTTATCCTTCACAGCCTGAAGATGAAGGACCAGGTCTTTCTCCCTCTCTGCCTCCCTCCCTTCCTCTCTTCCATCGATTGATTATAGTATTGGGGATTGAGCCCAGAGCCTCATTCCTGCCAGGCAAGGGCTCTAGGGCCACACTACATCCCCACCCCCTAGGGCCAGTTCTGATTTTGCCTGGGTTCCTTATCACAGTACCTGGAATAAATTAAGCAGTCTGTAACTATGTGCTGCATGCCAATGAATGGGTGGGAAGGAGCAAGATTTTTTTTTTCTGAGGCCAGGTCTCCCACTAATTCAGGCTGGCCTTGAACTCATGGTGATCTTCCTGCTTCAGCCTCTCAAGTGCTGGGATTACAGGTGTGTACCATCATGCCTACCTAACAGAAGCAAGGTTTTTGAGGCTACAGCCCTAGTTCTTAGCCACCACTTTTTCTAAGAGTATCGATATAGAGAAATTATCCACCAGTAAGGAACCCATCCTCATGCCCACCCTATTTCCTGGAGTAGAAATTTCTGTCGTCTTCCCTTGTCTCCTTGCCTGACATCCGAGACCCAGAGGCCTGGATCTGGCTGCCTGCTGCTAGCCGCTCTCGGTTCTAACAGTTTCTTCCAGTAGTCTCCCTCACTGACCACCGCTTCATGATGATGGTCTAAACGGCAATAGAGTCCGTTCATGCTGCAACTGGTGATCTGGTGATTTCTGTGGCCCTGCCAATTAAATCCCTGGCATATAGAGAGGGTGAACACAGCCATAGATATCCCTGCGTGTGGGGCGACTAATACCCTGATGTCCTGACTGGAGAAGCCTGCAGTGAATCACAGGGGTCCCAGCATCTGTTTTTCTGTCCTCGTGTAGACATGGACACCTCTGCCTTCCTGGTGCTTTTTGTTCTCCAGGCTTTCATCTTTCTGAAAATGATAAGAGTAGACAGGAGCCCTGTCTAAGCACTGACTGTATTAATTATGTGGTGCTCGAGTATCCCACACAACATGCCCTTGAGTTATCAGGTATTATGCTATTTGGAAGCAACTAGCTAGCAACTAGCTTTATAGAACGGTGTAACTGATGACTCAACTATGCCAGGTCCTGGGGTGCTGCCTAGAGAGAGAGAGAGAGAGAGAGGGATTAGGGTATCACCATTTTGCTCACACTGGCTCCCAACTTGCTGGGCTCAAGCGATTCTCTTGCACACCTTCCTGAGTAGCTGGGCGTACAAATGTGTACCACTGTGACTGTCTTCAATATATAGTTGTTGTTGTTGTTTTTGTACCAGAGATCAAACTCAGGACCTTGTGCTTGTGAGGACAGCACCACTGAGCTAAGTCCCCAGCCCTTCAATATATATAGTTCTTCCTACTTTGTAGCCAGAAGGTAGGTGTGGCACCTTATGTAAGGTACCTAAGGACTCTAAGAGGTCTGGAGGCTTCATTCAGCATTTATGGAGGAGAGTTTCTAACCAGAGGACACAAAAGATGCATCTCAGGCTCCTCATAGCACTAGCAGAAAGGGAAACCACAGTGTAGACTGGACTGATAATGGTTATCAAGTCCAGGGAAATATGGTTGTTGAGGGCTGAGAGGTATACGAGCAGAACCTAGGGTACCGTCTTAATCAGAATTCTTTTTTTTTTTTTTTTTTTTTGGTACCAGGGATCGAACTGGGGTCCTTGCGCTTGTGAGGCAGGCTGTAGAACCACTGAGCTAAATCCCCAGCCCTTAATCAGAATTCTTTTGATTGTTAGTGAGAGAAATTCCACTCAAGTTAGGCTTGGCAAAATGAGGGCCTCAATAGGGAAGGGTGAAGGGGGTGAAGGTCCGGCAGGGGTATGGGGAAAAAATACGAACCAAGACATATCATGTAAGGTAGGAGATCTCAATGATAAATGTAACTGCACTGTTTGCTTTAAATGTACCCATAAACTTAATGGGAGGGAAATGAGGACCTCATGGAAAGGCATCAAAATTCTAAGGCCTCTGGAAACAGGAACACCAGAAACAAGAAATCAGGACTGTGTTTTTCACTTCTACTTCTGTGCATCAGCGTCATTTCTCCTACTACAGACTGACTTCTTCCGAAGGAGGAAGGGAATGAAGGAGACCAGTTAACAGAACTCAAAAGAATCCACTGGTGTTTGGAATGTGGGACCCTCTCTTACGGAGTTCCTGCTCACCTGGGCAAATGGCACAAGCGCCCACCGCCCAGGGCCCGGTGCCAAGGAGGAAGCTCAGCCAGGAGGAAGCCACCACCATTGCCGCAAAGTATTATCCCACGCCTGTCACATAGCAGATATCTGTCTCCACTCAAAACATGCTGTGGAGCCAGGCGTGGTGGTGCACGCCTGTAATCCCAGGACCCGGGAGGCTGAGGCAGGAGGATCGCTGTGAGTTCGAGACCAGCCTGGGCTACATAGTGAGTTCCAGGTCAGTCTCAACTACATAGTGAGACCCTGTCTCAAAAAACAAACAAACAAACAAAAAACATGGTGTGGAGTGCATGCCTGCAATCCCAGCATTCTGGGGAGCTGAGGCAGGATGGAAAACTGGAGCCCAGCCTAGTCAATTCAGCGACTTAGCAAGACCCTGTCTCAAAAAATAAAAAAGGTCTGGGGATGTAGCTCAGTGCAAATGCCCTGGGTTCAGTACCCAGTACCACAAAAATAAAACACCCCCCCAACCCCTAGCTTTCATTTAATGAGATTTTTTAAAAGCATAACATGAGTATATAATTCCAAGTTGGGATAAATACTATGAGGAAAAAAGACAAAGGTGCCTAAAATGAGGGGAACTAATCTAGGGCGTCAACAAAGACTTCTCAGAGCAAAGATCTGAAGTAGGAGTAAGACGCAGGGGAAGAGAATTTTAGGCAGAAGGAAGGGTGTGTGCAAAACCAAAAGCCGAGTGGCAGAAAGGTGTGCAAGGCCCGGCTGCAGAGAGGCCGGTGCAGGGCGGAGCTGGACAGGCAGCGGGTGGGCGGGCAGGACGCCCTCGGCAGCCGAGGAGGAGCTGGGCGCAGGAAGGTGGTGAGGGTCAGAGTTGCCGTTGTGAAGTCTCGCGTGCCTGCAGCGAGGAGAACCGACCGTTCGGAAAGGCCGGGAGTGTGCGGTGAGGAACCCGAGCCTGACCTGGAAGGCCAGGG